TGTGTTCATCCAGCTCTGCACCTTGTTGTCTCAGATTCTCCAGCATCTGCAGTTCCTACTATCTCTGATTCAATGAACCATGTGGGCTTTTTACAACAATCGACAATGGTCACAGGGTGTTATTAGTCTACCTTTTTATTCCAGATTTTCATTCAATGTGAATTTCAACCTTTATTGTGGAATTCAAAGACATATCCCCAGAACATTAGACTGGGACTTTGGATTACGAGTACAATGATAGTACTCTGTGCCATCACCTGCTCTGCACAGCTACAATACAAGGAAGCATGAAGAAAAATTAATTTTTAAAACCTATCAATTCAGCATGGAACATTGTAACTAGTCAATCAGATTAGAATTGAAAACTAGCACCAAAGCATTACATTTTACCATGGCTTCTACAACAACCTTGTTTCTAATACATACACCACTTTGATTGCATTTAGGAGTAGCAAATAGCATGGGGAAGTAATTTGCTGGCAACCTAAGAATAGACTATAATCAACAGTTTAATTCTTAAATATGACATAACTGAAGGGAAAAGTGCCTTGGAATAAACATGTTCATTCTCTTATACTCAAGTTTTGTGATTATTCTGTCAGAGTATTTAGATAATTCATTTATACAAACAACAGCCACTTCAAAGCAACAGGACTTCTGCCCAAGATAACGTTTCCATGGCAGCCAATTATTTTTTAAAACAAACAAATCAGATTCAACGGTTATCAAGTTAAAAAATTATGAATTCCTTAACTATGCAATATTAATTAATCCATTTCATAAAATCTTTAATAATTCTGTTCAAAAGATATCAGTCTCTTGCACTCGTCCTGCATGATAATTCTACATTCTATACCAAATCAGTGATCTATAACATATAAAAACAGTTCAAATACTGTGTAGTGCAATGATTGAACATGCAACTAAAACTTCACCTACCTCCCTCCGGGATTGATGAATATTTCTAGACAACTTGGCATTGTTCTTATTCTTGTTTGAAGTTTCTTTAAAATCATCATCCTCAAAGTCTGTGAAGCCTAACTGAGAAATTAAGCAATCCAAAGATGAAGATTTAATTATTTCTCATCTAAATGTTTAGTTGACACTTCAATGGTATATACAAGAGACTAGCTGCAAACTAGTGGAAATTAGGGAGTACTTTACTAACGAATGTCATGTCACTGCAAACTACCAGAAACATTTCCTATGATTCAAAAGCTATAATTCTGGATCTGTAACATATTGAGTAATGGTTTCATGCAGAACCTTTCGTCAAATGGCTATGTGCAGAGAATCGCAGTACTACAGATAATAAAAACCATCAACTCTTAGAATGTTAATTCTTCTTATGTTTGAAGGCTTGTTGTGATTTACAGTCATCTACTTATTTTAATCACATATCTAGACTTTCAAGTTGATAGTGGCAAAGGTTTTAATGTGAAAGGTAAACCAAGTTGTACTAACATCAGACTGAATTTCAAGAAAAAGAAACATAGCTCAGTGCTTTTCATATGATTCTGAGAAAAATCTAGGTAAACACCCAAATACAATGAGAAAACATTCAGCCACACAGTTGACTTTAACACCCCTACTTCCAGATTCTATAACAATGAATAATGGGTTCAAATCCTAGTACTATATAAAACCTATTCAATAGATATGTATACTATATACACTTAATATACATGTTCCAACTGAATTAAATTATTTACATACATACATTAAGCATTTTCCTGGCTTTCCAGTTGGGTAAAACAGGAGCATTGAGCTCATTGGTACCAGTCACCTGTAACACAGAACATTTGCGTAAAAATTAAACATTTATTGACTACTGATCATGGAAATACCATCGCTCATGGTGTTAAACACAGGCAGGAATTTCAAATTCAGTTGTAAATGTGGAATAGCTTCAAATTTCAATTTAATTATTCTTTTTCAAGCTCTGGTCATTGGGGGTCTTTTGACCTATACTTTTAGTTTCCATTGGTCACATTCCAATGGCAACAGGGAAAGAAAGAAAAACCATCATTGCTGTATTGCACTTGATGTTATAGGAGTCTTTCCGCTCTGTGAAGGAAGTACCCATCAACAGCACCATGCCTTCAAACTACCAACAGTTCTAGTAACGTAGGGCAATGCCCCATTTTCTGTGCACCACAGCTGTAAATTTTTCCAACTTCTCGTTTTCCTTTAAACATGCCATAATGAACATAAATATAGCTACATTCAAATGAATTAATATCACTAAGTTTTATACAATTTAATGAATCTTTCCCTGCCTTACCCAAAATGCAGTAAAAATTCAGCTGTGCAGACTTGTTCAAACAATATTTCCAACACGTGCTTAGTGTTAAATACCAAATCTTATAAAAAATGTATTGAACAATGACGGATAGAGCACCAATTCACCAGTATAACACTGAGGGAGCTTAGCAATTTCATTAACTTGAATTTGAAAAGGTGATCCAATAAAGGATTTTAAAACAAAAGAATCTGATAAGATGCTCTTGTTTTCAGTGGCAGCAGCGCGAGCCAGAGCGTCGACGGGAAGGTAAGGTTGCTTTTTTGCTCCAGTATAAAAACTTACCTCGTGCAGGAGAGGCCCTCTTGTTTTCAGCAGCGGGTGTGTGGAGAGAACGCGAGCCAGGAAGGAAATGATATATTCGGGCATTGGCTAAACCCGAAACACTACGCGTGTAGTGTCTCCCACCTATCCTCCTCCTCTAACCAAAAAAAAAGACTGTGTGGAGGGCCGGTAAGGTGAGGCTTTTTTTTTTATTCACCTGGAAATCTAGAGTAGAGAGAATGGAAGCGAGGGCAGTTGTGTGCTCCTCTTGCAGGATGTGGAAGACAAGGGTCACTGCTTGTGTCCCCTCTGACTTCACCTGCGAGAAGTGCACCCAACTCCACCTCCTCAAAAACCGCGATATGGAACTGGAGCAGGAGTTGGACGAACTCCGGATCATTCAGGAGGCTGAGGGGGTGATAGAGAGGAGTTATTGGGAGGTGGTCACACCCAAGGTACAGGAAAAAGGTGGCTGGGTGACTGTCAGGAAGGGGAAAGGGGATAGGCAGACAGTGCAGGGATCCCCTATGGCCGTTCCCCTCAATAATAAGTATACCGTTTTGGATACTGTTGGGGGGAGCAACCTACCAGGGGAAGGCCATAGCGGACAGGTCTCTGGCACTGAGCCTGGCCCTGTGGCACAGAAGGGAAGGGGGGAAAATAGGACAGCAATTGTAGTGGGGGATTCAATAGTAAGAGGCACAGACAGGCGGTTCTGTGGACACGAACGAGGTGAACGGATGGTACGCTGCCTCCCGGGTGCCAGGGTCCATGACATCTCGGATCGTGTCTTCAAGATCCTTAAGGGGGAGGGTGAGCAACCAGCAGTCATGGTACACATCAGTACCAATGACAGAGGTAGAAAAACGGCTAAGAATGTGAAAACCGAATACAGGGAGTTAGGCTGGAAGCTGAAGTCCAGGACAAACAGGGTAGTTATCTCTGGATTACTACCAGTGCCACATGATAACGAGTTAAGAAATAGGGAGAGAGTGCAGCTAAACACGTGGCTACAGGGCTGGTGTAGGACGGAGGGCTTCCATTATGTGGATAATTGGAGCACATTCTGGGGAAGGTGGGACCTGTACAGGAAGGACAGGTTGCACCTGAACTGGAAGAGCACAAATATCCTGGGAGGGAGGTTTGCTCGATGAAGGGTCTAGGCCCGAAACGTCAGCCTTTGTGCTCCTATGATGCTGTTTGGCCTGCTGTGTTTATCCAGCTCTGCACCTTGTTGTCTCGGATTCTCCAGCATCTGCAGTTCCTACTATCTCCTATTGAAATGTGGAGATTGTTTAGGGAACGCATACTGCATGTGCTCGATATGTTGTCCCTAGCAGGCAGGGAAGATGCGGTCGAGCGAGGGAGCCTTGGTTCTCAAGAGAGGTCGAATGTCTGGTTAAGAGGAAGAAGGATGCTGATGTGAGGTTTAGGAAACAAGGAACAGAAAAGGCTCTAGAGGGATACAAGTTAGCCAGGAAGGAGCTGAAGAAAGAGCTTAGGAGAGCTATAAGGGGGCATGAGAAAATCTTGACAGACAGGATCAAGGAAAACTCCAAGCCTTTTTACATGTACGTGAGGAATAAGAGAATGATCAGAGAAAGGGTAGGGCTGATCAAGGATTGTAACGGGAATTTGTGCACGGAGCCTAAAAAGAGATAGGAGAGATCCTTAACGAATACTTTTCTTCGGTATTCACAACTGAGAGGGACCTAGTTGTAGGGGAGGACAGTGTGAAACAGGCTGGTCGGCTAGAGAAGGTCTATGTTAGTAAGGAAGATGTGCTAGGAATTTTGAGGAAGTTGAAGATAGATAAGTCCCCCGGGCCTGATTGGATTTATCCAAGGATTCTATGGGAAGCGAGGGAAGAGATCGCAGGACCTTTGGCGATGATCTTTTCGTCCTCACTGTCCATGGGTATAGTGCCGGAAGAGTGGAGAGAAGCAAACGTCATTCCCTTGTTCAAAAAAGGGAATAGGGATAACCCTGGAAATTACAGTCCAGTTAGTCTTACATCAGTGGTGGGCAAATTGTTGGAAAGGGCTCTGAGAGATAGGATTTATGATCACTTGGAAAGGCACTGTTTGATTCGTGATAGTCAGCATGGATTTGTGGGGGGTAGATCATGCCTCACAAACCTTATTGAATTCTTTGAAGAGGTGACCAAACACATGGATGAAGGTAGAGCAGTGGATGTGGTATACATGGATTTAAGGAAGGCATTTGATAAGGTTCTCCATGGTAGGATCATGCAGAAGGTAAGGAGGCATGGGATAGGGGGAAATGTGGCAGATAGTTTCAGAATTGGCTGACCCTGAGAAGACAAAGGGTGGTAGTGGACGGAAAATATTCAACATGGTGCTCAGTTACGAGTGGTGTACCACAAGGATCTGTCCTGGGTCCTCTTCTATTTGTGACTTTTGTAAATGATTTGGATTAAGGAGTGGAAGGGTGGATTAGTAAGTTCGCGGACGATACGAAGGTGGGTCGCGTTGTAGACAGTGCGGAGGGCTGTTCTACGTTACAAAGGGACATTGATAGGATGCAGAGCTGGGCTGAGAAGTGGCAGATGGAGTTTAACCCTGAAAACTGTGAGGTGATTCATTTTGAAAGGAAAAACTTGAAAGCAGAATACAGGGTTAATCGAAAGATTCTTGGCAGTGTTGAGGAGCAGAGGGATCTTGGGGTTCATGTTCACAGTTCCTTGAAAGCTGCCACCCAGGTGGATAGGTTTGTTAAGAAGGCATATGGTGTGTTAGCTTTCATTAATAGAGGGATTCAGTTCAAGAGCCGTGAAGTTATGCTCCAGCTATACAAAAGCCTGATTCGGCCACATCTGGAGTATTGCGTCTAGTTCTGGTGGCCTCGTTACAGGAAAGATGTGGAAGCGTTGGAAGAGGTGCAGAGGAGATTTACCAGGTTGTTGCCTGGAATGGAAGAAGGTCTTACGAAGAAAGGTTGAGAGAGCTAGGGCTTTTCTCTTTAGAAGGACGAAGGATGAGAGGTGACTTCATAGAGGTGTACAAAATGATCAGAGGTATAGATAGAGTAGACGGCCAGACTTTTTCCTAGGGTGGAGGTAGCTATTACGAGGGGGCATTATTTTAAAGTGAGTGGAGGTAGATATAGGGGAGACATCAGAGGCAGGTTCTTTACTCAGAGAGTGGTAGGGGCATGGAACGCATTGCCGGAGAGGGTAGTGGAGTCGGCCTCATTAGGGGCATTTAAGCAGCTATTAGATAGACATATGGATGATAGTATAAGGTAGGAGTGAAGATTAGATAGACCTTAGGATTAGTGTAAAAGTTTGGCACAACATCGTGGGCTGAAGAGCCTGTACTGTGCTGTACTGTTCTATATTCTATACAGAAACCATTTTCTCTGATAGGAAAATTCAGAACCATAAGGCACGGTATTGATATTAGAGCTAAAACATCACAAAATAAAAATCACAAAACATAAAGTTGATAGATAAGGGAAGGGCTGTCGATGTCATATACAGGGACTTCACTTAGGTGTTTGATAAGGTTCCCCATGGTAGGCTGATGGAGAAAGTGAAGTCGCATGGGGTCCAGGGTGTACTTGCTAGATGGATAGAGAACTGGCTGGGCAACAGGAGACAGAGAGTTGTAGTGGAAGGGAGTTTCTCAAAATGGAGAACTGTGACCATTGGTGTTCCACAGGGATCCGTGTTGGGACCACTGTTGTTTGTGATATACATAAATGATCTGGAGGAAGGTATAGATGGTCTGATTAGCAAGTTTGCAGATGACACTAAGATTGGTGGAGTCGCAGATAGTGAAGGGGACTGTTGGAGAATGCAGCAGAATATAGATAGGTTGGAGAGTTGGGCGGAGAAATGGCAGATGGAGTTCAATCCAGACAAATGTGAGGTGATGCATTTTGGAAGATCCAATTCAAGAGCGAACTATACGGTAAATGGAAAAGCCCTGGGGAAAATTGATGCACAGAGAGATCCGAGTGTTCAGGTCCATTGTACCCTGAAGGTGGCAACGCAGGTCGATAGAGTGGTCAAGAAGGCATACGGCATGTTTTCATTCATCGGATGGGGTACTGAGTACAAGAGTTGGCAGGTCATGTTACAGTTGTATAGGACTTTGGTTCGACCACATTTGGAATACTGCGTACAGTTCTGGTCGCTACATTACCAAAAGGATGTGGATGCTTTGGAGAGGGTGCAGAGGAGGTTCACCAGGATGTTGCTTGGTATGGAGCGCGCTAGCTCTGAAGACAGGTTGAGTACATTAGGATTATTTACATTAGAAAGACAGAGGTTGAGGGGGGACCTGATTGAGGTCTACAAAATCATGAGAGGTATAGACAGGGTGGATAGCAAGAAGCTTTTTCCCCAGAGTGGGGGACTCAATTACTCGAGGTCACGATTTCAAGGTGAGAGGGAAAAGTTTAAGGGAGATATGCGTGGAAAGTTCTTTACGCAGAGGGTGGTGGGTGCCTGGAACGCGTTGCCAGCGGAGGTGGTAGAGGCGGGCACAATTGCGTCATTTAAGATGTATCTAGACAAATACATGAATGGGCAGGGAGCAGAGGGATACAGATCCTTGGAAAATAGGCGACAGTTTAGATAGAGGATCTGGATCGGCGCAGGCTTGGTGGGCCGAAGGACCTGTTCCTGTGCTGTAATTTTCTTTGTTCTTTGTTGTTCTTTATTATTCACACAAAGGATTGTGGAAACCCTTAATCTGCTAAGGGTTGTGGATGCTGGACAAGTTGAAATTAACAAAACTGAAAATGCTCGGATTTTGTTTCGTTAGGCGAGACTTTAATAGAAAAAAAAAATCACAAGAGGTGATCGGTAGGATTTGCGAAAAAGGCAGATCAACCAAATAGAAGGCACATGATCCAACCAAATGGCTGACAAGCTCAGAGGGTCAGTCCTGTTCTTACGTGGGTAGTTCAGAGATTATACTTGACACAAAACTGAAAGAGCAAACATCCATTCAAGATTTCCTTTTCAACTTCGTGTTGAACAAAGACACCTGTCCATGTGGCCACATTCAAAACGAGCACTGAAACTGCATACAAGCATAATTTTGCCAGCTTTAGGAACTGTTTATAGGATATGGTCTCGATCACCATAGAACCTGTTCTGTGCATTGTCACTGTTAGCTATTGAGGGAGCAAAAATAGGTGTTATGAATCACCTATATTGTTGCAAGGAAAGGTGTAAATTCTTGGTTTTTAGGTCCTTTGAAATCTCTCTCCCGAAGACTAAACCAAGTCCTGCCTCTCTGCAATCAGAAGGAGGAGGTAGACTATTTCAAATGAAAGTGAATTCTGTTCCTACTTCTTCAAGCCAACCTTCTCTGAAGGCAGCTTGAGAGCACCTACAGTCTATGCTCCCTCGTTACTAGAGCTGAATGATGTTCCTGTCTGTTGCAGGTTTGATGATCAGTGTGTGGAGGCATTCCAGCATCAAAAGTTAAAACTGAATTTGTTGCACCCAAAGCACTTTCCTAGTTTACAAAAATACTTGCATTCACCTTAATCAAGTTTTGACATTGGAAAAATGCACTTGAATGATCTTATACAATAATGTATTTTGATGCCAGTTATTAAGTAATGTACTCACCTCAGGTGATTCCAGAACACCAAGTTTCATTCTTTTACGAGGCTTTCTGATAACTTCATCTTCACTCTCACTGTTGCACCCACCTGAGGAAAGAAACATTTTCCCAAACATCAGAAATAGTTCATTAATAATAATCCTTTAAAAAGTTTTTTTAAGTGTAAGTATTGTCATACGAGAGCAAAAAAGCCCTGTTTCTTAATGTTCATTTGATTTTATAAGGATTTCTAATGCTGACAAAAAAAATTAATTAACGTGGACCAATCGCAAGGACAAGACAGAAATGAATGTTTCTTTTTAAATATGAACAAAATGCACATATCACTTGTAATGCAAGTTGCCTTTTACCGAATAATTATACCTCACCGGGATGTTAATACAAATTTGAATATTTTAATATTTTAAATGCAGCATTTATTTTTGCCTGGAGTTTTTATTTGAATTCACCAGTGAGTTACTATTAATTTATGACTGTTCCCAATCGACAACAACAAGAAGAGATCAGAACAACCAATGGTTGTTCCTCCAGCTATTTAAAGGTTTCATAGAGTCATAGAATTGTACAGGAAGGAAACTGACTCTTTGGTCCAAACAGTCCATATCGACCATGTTCTCAAACTAAAAGAGTCTCCCTCTGCCTGCGCTTGGCCCACATCCCTCTAAACATTTCCTATTCATGAACTTGGCCAAGTGCCTTTTAAACATCGTAACTATAGCTGCATGAACCACTTTCTCTTGCAGTTTATTCCACACACGAAACACTGTGTAAAGACATTGCCCTCATGTCATTTTTAAAATCTTTCTCCTCTCACCTTATAAATATGCCCTCTAGTTTAGAACTCCCCCACCCTCAGGAAAAGACCCTTGTCATCCACCTTATCTATGCCCCTCATGATTTTATAAACCCCTAATGTCAATCCTCAACCTCTTATGTTCCAGTGAAAGAAGTCCCAGCCTCTCCAATCTATTTTTATAACTCAAACACTCCATTTCTGGTAAATTCTGGTAAATCTTTTCTGAACTATCTCCAGTTTAATAATATCCTTCCTATAACAGGGTGACCAGAACTGAACACAGTACTCCAGAAGAGACTTCACCAACGTCCTGTACAATCTCAACATATGGCTCAACTCCTATATTCATAGGTCTAAACAATGATGGCAAGCATGCTGAGCACCTTCTTAACTACCATATGACAAGTTTCAAAGAATTACATACCCGAACCCCTAGGTCTCTGTTCTACACCACCACCAAGGGCCATACTATTAATGGTAAAAGTCTTGTCCTTGATTGCATTTTCAAAATGCAATAACTTACATTTATCCAAATCAAACTCCAGCTGCCACTCCTCAACCCACCTGACCCAAGTGATCAAGATCTCTTTGTAATCTTGGATAACCTTCTTCACTATTAAGAGGATTATACAGTTTACTTTCATTAAGTCACAAAATCTTGGTAAAGTTTGTGAAATTAAGCAGGAAGGATGAAAGAGAACAAGGTACTCAAAGCTTACAAATCAGCAGATATTTGCATGGCATCGAAACCATTGCATCTGTGCCTAGTTCATCAAACCACCGATCATTCCCAAAGGCTTATGAAACTTTAACGGAGAAATAACTGTTTATTTAATGTGAGATAAAATATGATGTGACAATTAGAAAATGTTTTACATATGAATACTTAATGGTCACAGTGCTGGTGTTGGAAACTGTACTCAGCAAGCTAACAAACCTGGTTTGAAGGCAGTAACTGAGTAACTCAAATAAAAATCAATGATTATAGCCAATCTTGAATTATTTATGAACATAGCATGTGAAAAGTATGCTTTCTTCGACAAGAGGTGGTCAGTTAGCCAAGTTGGCTGGATGACTTGTTTATAATGCAGTAACGTCAACAACATGGGTTCAATTTCATACCAACTGAGGTTACCATGAAGGACTCACCTCAATATTTCCTCTTGCCCAAGTCATGGTGACCCGCAGGTTAAACCAACACCAGTCATCTCTCTCTTATGACAGAGCAACCCAATGGTCCAAACGAAGCATGGGGACTTTACCTTGGAAATAGCTGTTCCATTTACAAGCACCTTTCTCAATGAAAACATTGTCACCTCTCCAATCTTTACCCAACTTCCTCTCAATTCTGTGTTTAAATCTCGCCAATTAAGTTTCTGCCTTTGGAATTAGCATTCAATGTTGCAAATGTGGCCTCAGCAATTATGAGTGAGGCGCACACCCCTTCTCATCCTTCAAATTAGCTGATCAAGCATCATTCTACCCTGGCCAGGTGATTGGAATTCCACCCTCTTGACTGCAGCCTTGCCCATCTTTCCAAAGGCAGCAATGGGACCTCCAGCAATGGGTTGACCTTCTACCCTTGAAATCATTAGTTTCTCCCCACCAAGGGTCTATCCATTGCCCCCTCTCTTTTAACTTACACTCTCTACCACATTAGCATCATCTATTGTCATGCTGTCACTTTCTACATGCATGCTCTACCTACTTATCTTCCACTTCTCTCAATTCTACTGCATTGTCGAGATGCTTATTTGGCAAATTGTTATGAATGAGCCACAATTTTCTCCTGTTAAACTCTGGAGTCTAAGCCATTGTCAATCAGGTTCCACGACAAATCACCTTTCCTCAGATTTGGTCTCACACCGAAACAGAGTCCACAGCCTTAGTGTCCTATTTGTCAGAGCTGAGCTCCCAATCCCATTGTCTCCCTCATACGTTCTACTTCTAACACCATACACTTCTGCTCTGCCTCAGCCCATCCACTACATACATATCTTTGCTTCAAAATTCAGCAATTAATCGATGCTTTCCTGGTTAGCCTCTCATTTTCCAGACTTTATCCTTCCAATCTTCCAAAAATCTGCTCTGTTTCCCATCCTATGCCACTCCATCAGTCCTGACGCTGGTGACTAATTTAAGCCTGGAACCCCAATGTGTTCAAATTAAAAGTCTCATCTCAAAATGTAAAGCTCCAGCCTCACTTCACCCCATCTAACCTCCACTATACAGACTATATGTTCCACTGAACCAAAGGGGTGAATTGTGAAGCTGAAGCATGAATAGGCCTAAGGGTCCCTTAAGCTTTACCTGCAATTCAATAAGATGATAGCTGATCAGTCTCAACTTCACTTTTCTGTCATGCCCGGTTCCCTAGATGCCCAACTTTAGCTCATTACCCACTTTGTCTGTTTATGCACTTGTTAAGAACCACAGCATATCTAGCCATGCTGAAGGAGTTATATTGACACAAGCTGTCGGTGAACCTCAAACTGCAGATCATTCATTGTAACAAGTTGAAAGCATCAGGGCTGACTGACCAAATTTTCAATAAGATTTGAGATCCTGCACTGCTTGTAAAGATCTAAAGTATAAAAGCAAGGAAGTTGCAGTGAACATTTATAAAACATTGGTTTTACCTCAGCTAGAGTAACGTGACCAATTCTAAGCACTGCACTTTAGGAAGGGCGTGAAGATTTACAAGACCAGCTTTAAGGCAGAAGTATTTCAGTTGCATGGATTCATTGGCAAAACTGGATGCATCCCTAGAGTGTGGAAACAGGCCCTTCGGCCCAACAAGTCCACACCGACCCTCAAAGCATCCCACCCAGACCCATCCACCTATAACCCACCCAATCTACGTGTCCCTGAGCACTATGGGCAATTTAGTGTAGCCAATCCACTTAACCTGCACATCTTTGGACTGAGGGGGGAAACTGGAGCACCCGGAGGAAACCCACACAGAACAGGGAGAATGTGCAAACGCCACACAGACAGTCGCCAGAGGGTGGAATCAAACCAGGGTCCCTGGCGCTGCGACACAGCAGTGCTAACCACTGAGCCACTGTGCCACCCTTTGAAATGAAAGTTGAGCAATTTGGAGATGTGTTCAAAACCACAAGAGGTGTGGACACAGTAGACATTACTGAAGATTGAGAACCAGAGGACATTGATTTAAGAGGAACAACAAGTGCAAGAAGCAACATGAGGTATGACCTTCTTCATGTAGTATGTAGACTGCACTGTCCGAGTGTGTTGTGGAGCCAGAACCAATGGCAACTTTCAAAAAGGAACTGGTTGATTGTCGGAAGAAAAAAAAAATGCAGAGCCAATGGTAAGAGCAGGGGAGTGGAGCTAGAACAAAGTAAATTACAGCACAGGAACAGGCCCTTCAACCCTGACATGCCTTTGCAGAGAACCAGCATGGAAAACTGAGGGCCAAATGGTCTTCTGTGCTGTGAACATTCTGTGATTCTGTAGAAAAGACCATAAGACATAGGAGCAGAAATTAGGCCATTCAGTCTGTCGAGTCTGCTCCGCCATTCAATCATGGCTGATAAGTTTCTCAACCTCATTCTCCTGCTTTCTCCCCGTAACCCTTGATCCCTTGACAATCAAGAACTTATCTATCTCCTTCTTAAATATACTCAGTGACCTGGCATCCACAGCCTTCTGCGGCAGTGAATTCCATAGATTCACCACTTTCTAGCTGAAGAGGTTTTTCCTTATTTCCATTCTAAAAGGTCTTCCCTTTACTCTAAAGCTGTGTCCTTGGGTGCTAGTCTCTCCTACCAATGGAAACATCTTTCCAATATCCACTCTGTCCAGGCCATTCAGTAAGTTTCAATTAGATTCCCCCTTATCCTTCTAAACTCCAAGTATAGACCCAGAGTCCTCAAACGTTCCTTATATTTTTAGCTTTTCATTCCTGGGACCATTTTGGTGAACCCGCTCCAGGGCCAGTACATCTTTCCCAAGATATGGGGCCCAAAACTGCACACAATCTACACTATTACCTGACTAAAAGAAAAATAAAATAGATTCAAAAACAGGACCAAAAACTTAGGCTAACGGAATACAAACTTTGTATTTTGGTGCCAATAGCATTCGGATTGTCTGTCACAAGACTCAGTAGAGAAAGAACAAAATTTAATCGATTCTAAAGCAAGGTAAAGTCGGAAACGTTTCTTGGATTCAGTGATAAATCAATTGAGTGGATCAGAGATGCATAAACACCAGCTACTTTAAACCCAGGAATTAGCAGTGAATGAAAAATATTAAAGCAAATATTT